TAAATTTTAAATTAATCTGAATATCACCGTAGGAGGGATGGTTGCATACTGGAGATGTGGGAGAAATTGATGACCGTAGCTGTCTAAAAAATTATCGATTATGTTAAAAATATATTTAAGCTAGCTCAAGGTGAATATATTCCCCTGAAAAAGTATGCATTATTTTTTCTTTTTTCTTTTTTTTTATTTCTTGGGCAAATCAAATTGTTGGAGTTCTGGATTATGAAACACTAGTGAAAATGATGTCGTTGTTAACGAATTGTTGGAACGTTTAAATATTTATGGAAAAAATAACGGACTTAAAAGGTTGGTTTTATTTTATTGTTATAGCTTATATGTTATATTAATTATTTTAGATTTGAACAAGTTAAAGCAGTGCACTTGGATAATATAGCGTTCTCTGTTGAAAATGAGCTATTAACCAATTTGCTAAATTTTAGTGGACCCACTAATCTATTCTATCATTCATTACAGTGTGATTACTACTCTTTAATTGACTAATTAGGATGTAATGTAAAAATTGAAGTGATTATAATTTTTTTAAAAAAAATCACTTCTTAGAATTTCATTTATAAAACTACTTTTTTCATTTTAACAAAAAAAATTTTTGTAAAATTTGTGTTAGAAAGGTTTCTAGCTATTGTTTTATCTAAACTCTAATTTAATTTCAGTTTAGCTTAAGTGTGGTTGTTGTTTGTTAATATTTTGATTTATTAAAAAGCATATTGGCGATGAAGAATAACTTTTTTAAAAATTTCTTTTTTAATTTGATTTTAAAGTTTAGATTTAACTAAAGATAAAAAAATATTTTATAAAATATTATGCTCTAAATGTTAAATAAAAATCAAATTTTAGAATTAAGATTTAGAACTTTAAATTAAAATAGAGATTAAAATTTTTTTATATTTTTTAATCTGTAGCTTTTCGAGCAAATTTGGCTAAAAATTATTAAAAAAATGGTTATAGTCTATTTTTTTTAAATTTTAAAATATTTAAATAAAATTTTATTTGATAATACTTGAAAATAAGAATTATATTATTGTAGTATTTAATTATATATAATAAAAAAAATATATGTTGCTTATAAGTTAAAAATAAAAAAATTTTAAAAAAAAATTTAATTAAAAACCTTATTTATAAATTTTTAATGAACTTTTTAAATATTGATTTTAAGTAAGCAGTCACACTAGTACTTTTATTAAGTTTCTTGAAATTATATTAACAATTACATAAATATACTTAATAACTAAGGTTAGTATTACTTATTCATTCAAACAGTATCTAAATGTAATCTGTTATATGTACTACTTCAAACATGTTTAAGTAGAATGCTTATTTAATTAAATTTATAAACTCTTCTTTTCTTGGGTTTGTTATTTAATTTTATTGTTAATGTCTTGTGTATTATATAGAATTTTTTTTCTCTAAGCAGTTATGCTAGTACTTTATTAAGATTTTAAAATTACATTTGTAATTATATAAATATTCTTAACAACTAAGCTCAACTACCATAATAGTATCTAAGTGCAATCTGCTTCATTACTTCAAGCAGAAGCAAGCTGCTTATCTGACTACTTAAAGTCTATAATAAAAAGGTCTTCTTCTTTTTATGACAAGCTCTAAAATTGTTTTTTATGTTTTTTTTTTATTTGTTTTTCTTTTTCTTTCACTTTCACTTTTCTTTCTTCTATTATTTGCTGATTTGGTCTTTTTTTTTTATTTGATGTTTTTTCTTTTTTTTTTTCTTCTTTTTATTTTACCTATTATTCCTTCAATTTTTTTTTATTTGTTAATTTTTTCATATTGAATTTTTTATACTTGTTTATAAAATATGTCCTAGGCCATTCTTGCTTTTATATTCATAAATTGCTATCTTGATTTTGTACTTAGAAGCTACCTCAATCTGTCTGTGTTTCTTTTAAAATAAGATTTTTAATTAGTGTCTTTCTTATTTTAATTTCTTCTGCTTTTGTTTTTTTAAAAAATACTATATATAATATATATAGAGAACCTGAACTTTTTTTTCTTCTTTTAACCCCTTTCAAGCTGTTGTGATAGTTACTTTTTAGATTTTTTTTAAAAAATTTCTTTGTCTCTTATATGCTACCAAATGTACTTTTATTTTTTTTGTTTTATTTTAATATACTTGATATTCTGTTGTTGTATATACATTTAGTCTTCTTTTGTTAAGTTCTTCTAAAATTAGAAATTTATCTATTATGCACTTTATAAATACACTTTTTCTAGTACTACTTCTTCTTATTATGTAATGTACTCCTTTAAATATTTTTAGTCTTTTTCAAAAATATGTCTAATTATAAATTATAACTTCTGTTTCTGGTTTTAATTTTCTAATTATTTTTATTTTTTTTTATTCTACTTCTAATCTTATATTCATTATTAATTTGCAAAACAGTATATCAGTATATTTGTTTTTCTACTTTAAGCAATACTCTATCTTTTTGTAACTGACTTATTCAGTCTATATTATCTCTTTACTTATTGCATCTTTTATTGTTAGACTATTAGTTTTATTATTCTATTTATCTTTATTATTCCTTAATCTGTAAGCTTTTCTAGGCAAATTTGCCTGGAAAATTGTTTAAAATATGCTTATGATCTACATTTTTTAAATTTTAAAATATTTAAATAAAATTTTATTTAATAATATTTGAAAATAA